TCACTATACAAATGATTGTAAGTTGTAAATTCTCAGTCATCCAGGTCAGGATTGTCCCAAAAGTGCTTTTTCAGGAGGCACCTGGACTTTCTGTTTTTTTTCTTTTGAAGACATTTCACTTCTCATCCAAGAAGCTTCCTCAACTCTGACAGGATAGTGGGGAATGGAAGGATTTATATTCCTTGCAGACAGCTGGTCATTTGCATCCTTTTAGGGGGTCATTGAAGCCCTTCATTGACTGAGGATGACCTGGATGACTGAGAATCTCTACAGACTTTTAGCTATAGAATTTGAATGATATGAGAATAGAAATGGATTTCCAGAGGAAAAATTGCAGACTACAGGAACCAGGAGTACTATTCAGGTGACCCTGAGGACACAGATAAACCATTCAGGTGCTTCAATGATCCTCTAAAAGGATGCAAATGTCCAACTGTCTGCAAGGAATATAAATCCTTTCATTCTCCACTATCCTGTCAGAGTTGAAGAAGCTTCTTGGATGAGAAGTGAAACATCTTCAAAAGAAAAAAACAAGAAAGTCCAATTGCCTCCTGAGAAAGCACCTTTGGGACTTCAACTGAGGATTCATCCTGCCACAACAATGCGTGTTTCTGAAAAAAATTCCTAATGTTTCCTACAATCATCTAATTGTAGATGATTTGATTATTTTCAAATTCTCAGAATATTTGATGGGAAGGACATAGTTCCATGCATCCCATAATGACATGGAGAAAAATTAGGATGATCCTTACCTCCCTAATCCTTATATTTCTGGCATCTCTAATGTTGGGATATTTGAATAGAAGCTATGCAAGTATTGTAGAATTTAAGGCCCATAAACCCACATTGGGTTATTGATGCCAATTCATGAAGCCATTGTCAACATTATTTCTCTATCTAGAGATGTAAACTTCCCCAAAACAGGGTTTTGTGAGGTCTTCGTGAGATGGATGATACTAAATGGAGAAGCACCTCATCTTCTAAAGCAGGGGTGTCCAACCTTGGCAACTTTAAGACTTGTGGACTTCAACTCCCAGAATTCCTCAGCCAGCTTTGCAAAGCTGGCTGAGGAATTCTGGGAGTTGAAGTCCACAAGTCTTAAAGTTGCCAAGGTTGGACACCCCTGTTCTAAAGAGTCAAGGAAGTGGTACAATTCATTTTGCTTCATGGCATATCTTTCCTTGGTAGCCAACATAGTAATATTGAGGAATTAGTTTGATAAATGATAACCCATCAGATTTTGATAAAATAAAGGTTGGGAGTCCTGGCAAAAGAGGATACTGGATTATAAAGGATCGGAGGTGATGCAGATTGATCACCAAGGATGTCAAGGAATAAAAAATACTTCTATGATAATAGAATAGAATAACAAAGTTGGAAAGGACCTTGCAGGTCTTCTAGTCCAACCCCTGGCTTAGGCAGGAAACCCTACCCCATTTCAGATAAATGGTTATTCAATCTCTTCTTAAAAACTTCCAGTTTTAGAGCATTCACAACTTCTGGAGGCAAGTTGTTCCACTGATCAATTGTTCTGTCAGGAAATTTCTCCTTAGTTCTAAGTTGTTTCTCTCCTTGATTAGTTTCCACCCATGGCTTCTTGTCCTGCCTTCTGGTGCTTTGGAGAATAGCTTGGCTCCCTCTTCTTTGTGGCAGCCCCTGAGATATCAGAACATTGCTATCATATCACCACTGGTCCTTCTTTTCATCAAACAAGACTTAACCAGTTCCAGCAACTATTCATAACATGGAGCCCATTTCATTTGCAGCAAACGACACCAGATCAAATACAGAGACATGCATTCAGAGGCTTACCAGTTTAGAGAAAATAAAGGCAGCTACACCCAGGGGTGAGAAACAGCACATCATAGCCAAGATAGAGAAGCCGATATAATCAGGTTCTTCAGTTGGTTCAACAGGCACCATGACGATCGACTTTGGTTGATGAAGGGCTGGAATGTGTTTGGATGCTGTCCTATCTGGGCCATCTACAGGTTGATCCTCGGTTGGCACAACAGGAGATTTTTCACTGTCCACCCAATGGGTTGATTCAAGAAGCGTTTTGGGAAGATCAGGCTGAATTTCCAAGTAAGAGGGTTGGCTTTGGGAAAGAGGCACATCATCTTGCATCCTCTGGTATTTTGGGGAACTCATGATTTTTGGTAGTAGCTCTTTCTAAAATCTCACTGGTATTCTGCTGATTGCCTTGACCTTGTTTCTCAATTCTCTCTGCTCCTGATTTCCGGCCAGCTCTATCATCACAAGCAATCTTGTTTTGATTTGCTGTCTGCTCCTACAGTGCTTTTTCCTGGGAGTTGTCTCTGTGTTCTGATTCCGACTCTTCCTGTAAACTGATGTTTTCTTTCTCCCCTCCCACTTTTTTTTTCTGCTGGAACATTTATAGTATAAAATGCAGGCATCCCTGCTTTGCTTCTCTGATGTATGTTCAGGTTTTGGCTATAAAACCGTCTGGTAGGTAGCAGTTGGAAATATAAAAATTGGGAGGAAAGAAGAATTAGCAATCAAGAGTAGAATGGAATAGAATAGGATAGGATATTATAGAAAGTTAGCACTCACCCCTCTCCTAGAAGAATGAAATGTTCTAGGAAATATTAAAAAGGTAGAATATTTCACCTAAAAGAGAAATAAAAATCTCAAAGGAAACAGAAAGAAAAGGCCCAGCTCCCTGACCCCAGCAGATATTATGGTGCCAGCTTACCTACAAGACAAAAGACTGGGCCAGTGTCCTGGATTTGTTGTGGTTAGCCGGCAGCAGGTGCAGACAGCTGAGGAGAGTGAGGACTTAGATGAGGGGCCAGGATCATCAGGGAGTAGAATGCTACCTTTGGAGATTGTGGGGGCTGGCAGCAGCGATGAAGAGGTCTCCGAGGAGCCTGTTCTAAATGTGTGTGCACGCAGGATTGCTCGTAGGAAAGAACAGCTGCAGCAGAATGGGCGACTCAGGTGTAAGGCTACAGGGTAATGGCCCCTCCTTCAAGAAGATAAAAGGCAGCTGTGCAGCGAACGTTCTTTGCAGGAAGCAAAGACATTTTGAAACTCAGTCTCGTGGACATTACAGTTGGTATTTGATGACTCTTGTGTTGTAAACTATTTCTTATCTGTTTTTTTTTTTTTTGTCAGACTTGAAAAAACTTGGCAAGGCTCTTTCTTGTTGGAGCTAATTAGTTGGAAACAGCCTTTTATCTGTGAAGAAACAGGATTCTTAGCTGAAACTTAAAAAGATTATACTGCTGCCTTTGTCTTGTGTTTGCTTTCTTGGAACCAGGTTTGAGTCAGAACAGGATTCCCCTTTTGTGGCCTTCTGACAAGCAAAGTCAATAGGGAAGCCCTTCATACACACTTAAAAACTGGGTTTCTAATTTAACAACTGCAGCAATTCACTTAACAACTGTGGCAAGAAAGGTTGTAAAATGGAGCAAAACTCACTTAACAACATTTTCACTTAGCAGCATTTTTGGGATTCAATTGCAGTTGTAAATTGAGGACTACCTAGAAACTACAAAAAACAAACAAACCTGGTGCTGAGAGCATTGCAAGAATCTAAGGAGTCTCTCTTTGTGTACTGATAAAAAAAAATGCATGGAAGGAATATAATTTTTCCCACACTCCTACATCCTGCTTGTAGCTAAAGAATGTGGCAGTAAAAAAGACATGTCAAAATAATTTACATTTCAGGTGAAATTTGGGTTTTGGAATTACAGTGCTCTAACACAAAGCACGGAGTATTTTTTTATTTTATTTAGCTGCACTTCCTATCCTGCCTATTGCCCAATTTCTATAAACTCTGACTTCTAGGTTTTGCAAGTTTGAAATTTCCCAAACTCAAAAAGCAATCAGTCACAAAGCTGCCGGGTAAACAGAAAGTGATCTCTCCGAAGTGATATTTGCATATCTGATCTTAACTTCTACCTTTGAAGGGGAAAACTAAAGAGTGCTCTATTTCCTTTAAACCCCAAGGATGACCTAAAAGCTTGCTGCCCAAATTTTTAATTCACTCAATTAAAAATGTTCCACTGATGGTAATACAACATAGTGTCGTTAACGGCGATCGCCCTAATTAAATCATGAGCCTCAAGCCAAGCTTCAAAAGATTTATTAGGAGCAACATGTCGGCATGTCACCTAAATGAAGCCAACTCTGGCATATGTAATTTGCAGTCACTTGTGACCCTGTTTCCCCCCTCCCCCTGGGTGCCTCATAAATCAGATTCTCCAATGAAGCATGTTCACGGGCTGGGTGTCATCAATCATGTTCTCCAGTGAAGGATTTTTGATGGCAGAAGATCCGGTAGCCTAGCTACAATCTTTGTAAGATAAGCATGGAATGTACCTCTGGTTTTAAACTGCCGTACTGCTCCTTCAGATTCCCCGCCCCCACACACTTGTTTATGGCAACTCGAAAACAGGCATAGGAATGTTTTTCCAGTTGACACTCTGTTTTCATCCCTTGCACTGGCTTGAATAGGGACTGAAAGAGGATCTTGTCATCTATTTGCTCTATGGCAGGGGTGTCAAACGCAATTTCATTGAGGGCTGCATCAGGATTGTGTTTGACTTCGGGGCAGTTGGGGTGGGTGTGGCCGGGGTGGGCGTGGCCAGCTCTACATCACTCATGTCCCGGGGCACCTGCGGTGGCCCGAGTGCTCTGCTTTAATGAGAATTGACACCCTCATTAAAGCAGCTCCCTCTTTCTGTTTGCTTGATTTCAAATAGATTTAAAACACAGCCTTGCACAGTGCTGCTTATTTCCCTGCTGGATCACAGAATCTGCTTTGAATATGAGACGTAGATAGTCCATCGCAAATCTTTTAACAGATGATTCTTTCCAGCCTATAGATGTTCCCTCAAATACAGTGCTACATAGCTCAAAATTATCTTTGATGGTCACAGAATCAAGAATATGGAAATCTCGAGATGCACCAGCATGAGTGAGCCCACTCCAGAGTTTGTAAATTTTGTGATGCCATTCAAATAACAGTGGAAGCTGTCTCCAGGGAATTTATTCTGATGGATTGAGTCGGATGAGGTTTCTTTAGGGCCTTAAGGAAAGTGGTGATTTGCTCTAATTAAAACAATGGCAATTATAGTGATGTACACAAATGTTAATAAGATTCCAACCCCCAGAGCTAAATGGGCAAAGGACCGGGCTAACATGGAGAGTCGCTGTGCAGCTGTTCGGTCGCCAACTTTGTTAGCTTGCCGAGTCTGCAGGGAAAAAAAAAGGAATTTATGATGAAATCATACTGAATAATAATTCACATGCAGGAAGGGTACATACTGACTCTGTACCCAGAACCTTCTGTTGTTTTGGCTGGTGAAGTTAGTTTACTTTATTGTCATTGCACCTTGTACAACGAAATCAAACACCATCTTCAGTGCACATCATGACCATGAAAACACAAACACACATCCTTCACTCTTCACACATTGAACCGGAAACCCCCAACAACACACCAACATTGCACCATACAGCAGAATTCAAAAGAGCTACTGCCCTGGGATAGAAGCTGTTTTTCAGCCTATCTGTCCTTGTTTTTATTATCCTGTACCATTTGCCAGATGGTAATAGTTCAAAAAAAGGGTTCCCAGGATGAGATGGATCTTTTGAACTTTCTTAAGGAAGCGGGAGCTATAAAGCTCTTCCAAAGAGGGGAGAGGGCAACCCACGATCTTCTGGGCAATGACGTTAACCCTCTGGAGTGCTTTGCTATCTGCCACTGTGCAATTGGCAAACCATACAGAGGTGCAGTATGTTAAAATACTCTCTATGCTGCAGCAGTAGAAGGTCACCAGCAGTTTTTCATTCAGTTGTTGTTTTCTGAGAAGTCTCAGGTAGTATAATCTCTGCTGGGCCCTTTTGACCAGGGCAATTTAATTTAAAATAAGAATTCTATTATCATGGGTGGTGAGATACTTATCAATAGGGAGTGGCAGACCAGGAGTTCATAGTTCACATCTTTTTAAAGCTTGCTTTGATAGATAAATAGCCAATATAAAAGTTTCTGGGAAATGATAGGAGTCAATAAAATCTGACTCAATAGATAGCTAAACAAGCATTTCTACAAATGGTTGCTCCAATTTTTATGGTAAAGCTAAGCCTAGAAGAACCTTTAAACTCGTCTATGGAGATTCTCAGTTATCGAAGTCTTGGTTGTCCCACAAATCCTTCTTCAATGGCAATTGGACTTTCTGGTTTTTCTTTGAAGACATTTCACTTCTCATCCAAGAAGCTTCTTCAGCTCTTGCTTCTCATCCAAGAAGCTTCTTGGATGAGAAACGAAGCATCTTCAAAGAAAAACCAAAAAGTTCAGTTGCCTCCTTTAAAGGGACAACCTTTAAACCCAATTTAATCTCAGCTTTTTCAGCTTCGTGTCCCGCAGATTCATCATCTAGAGTAGTGTTTCTTAACCTCAGCAAATTTAAGATGCGTGGGCTTCAATTCCCAGAATTCCTCAGCCAGCCACACATTGGTTTTTTTTTAAAAAAATACATTTTAATATAAAATGGAAATGGAAATAAAGACAACAGAGAAAAGTAGAAGGAAAGGGGATAGAGGAGATAAAGTGAGGGAAGAAGGGAAAATAAAAAAAGAAACAAAAAGCAGTGACTTCCACCTTTTTGATGCAGACAGATACATCTTAAAGAGGGTAAGAAACACTGCTTGAAAGATTAGAGAAAACCACTGAAGCTTACTACCTATTCTAAAGTCTAACTACTCTTAAAACCATTGTGTTTCAAATGAATACCAGCTAAAGCCCAGCTGATTGTGGAGCTGCTGTTTGCCACATAATAATTCTCATCAGCAGAAGGCTACTTGTAAATTCACATCATCCTTCCAAAATGAACATTAGGCTGGATTTTGGCTGTAGTTTACAGCACTTGCTGTGATTCTCTTACTGAAGGAGACGGATAAACATTAAAATGTCTGTACAACATTTTCCATAGGAGTTCCCCCTCCCTCCCTCCCTTTCTCTCTCCCTCCTTCCCTCCCTCCCTCCCTCCCTCTTTCTCTCCCTCCCTCCCTCCCTCCCTCTCTCTCCCTCCCTCCCTCCCTCCCTCTCTCTCTCCTTCCCTCCCTCCCTCTCTCCCTCTCTCCTTAGCACAAGTTGCCCTTGCTGTGGTCTAATTTCATTGACACAAGACAGTGAATGTTAGTCTTTCCTTGTCTGTTAACAGATTTTATCTTGGATCCTAAACAACAAAACTTCTCTTTTGCAAATAACATTGTGTTCCCCCCACCCTCTTTCTGTCCTTACCTCCATTCCCCTCCCCCCCCCATGCTCACCTGTATTGAGAAAACCAAGGCAGTGACGCCTAGGGGTAGAAAGCAGCAAAGCATGGTGAAGATGGAGTAGCCCAAAAACTCGGGTTCCTTAGTTGGCTGGGATGGGGTGATGATTATAGCTTGCTGAGGTTGAACAAACAGACCTTGATTGTATCCTGCATCAGGGGATATGTAAATAGTTTGGTATGGGGGTGGCAGGGCAGAAGGTGCTGTATTATCCATAGAGTATGGTGGTGGTCCAGCGGGATGATTCAGAGCAGCAACTGAAAGGTGTTCCTTTCCTGAGTATGGTGGTGGATCCATGGCATCAGATTTTGTGTTTCCTGGTTCTCCTCCTTCAGTCAACCGATCAATAATATTTACTCAATCGAAGACCAGCAAAACTCCTTCCTCAGTTCTCCACACTCCAGCACCTCAGCTGCTGATGGAAGACTGTTGTGCTTTCCACCGTCAAACGTTCCTAGCGGACCTATTGGAATTTGCTCTGGTTCTTCAGGAGAATTATTTTCCAGTGACTTCCAGTCCTTGATGGTAAGTCCATAGAATGAAGAATTAGACAATGAATAACCGAGCTAGATTACTACTAGGTGCGGCACCTAGAAAAGGGGGATGGCCTTGCTCAACAGCTGTAATCTTCTTTCTTCTGCGTGATAAGGAAACCTGTATCCATTTTTCCCCCCCCAGTGACCTTCTTGGTAACTTGTCTAAATCATTTCTCACCATGATGTTCATCATTTCACACAGCTCATGTTAGGGAGAATTAGCTTGCCTAGCAGTTTGCTGGGCGCAAATAGCCTTCCAAAAGCCCCATCAAAAATGTTGGGCAAGGAAGTGTGTGAATTCTTCTCTTTTATCTTCTCCACCTATAGCTTACCTTTTCCTTCAATGTCTCACCTTTTCCACATAGCGATCACCTCTTATTTTTGTTTTGGTGTCTTCAGGACAATATTGACTCCTGGTGGTTGCCTAGACGAGTTTTCTTTGCAAGGCTTTTCACAAGTGGTTTGCTGTTGCTCGCTTCCCCGGGCTGGGAGAGAATGACTGGCCCAAAGTTATTTAGCTGCCCTACGTGTCTAAGGCAGGACTAGAACTCACATCTCTTGGTTTCTTGGCTGATGCATCACAATAACTCTTCCCCATTGCTCTCTCTGCTGTTGAGTTCAGATTTTTATAAGCCATATTACCCCTATTTTTATGGCTTATCAGTTGCCTTTATGGCTTAGCGAAACATACATACCACTGCTTGAGATAATACCTGACCCGTGAATGTATATTATAACACTGTGAACAGGTAGATTTGCCTTTCATCACCCTCTTTAATGGATTCAGCAAGTGTCTCAACCAAGTAGGCAAAGAGCAACGGGCAAAGGACAGCTCTGTCATAGCTTTTTGCAAATGGCTAAGCCATAGAAAGCCACTGATTGACTCTGACATGCACCCAAACTTTAAATCTAACTCTAAATCAGAGGCATCCCCGTAAGCATATCCAGGGGTGGGATTCTACCAGTTCGCACCTATTCACTAGAACCGGTTGTTAACATTCCAAGCAGTTCAGAGAACCGGTTGTTAGAACAAATTACTGGCCTAATCCTGTAAGGAAGGCAGGAAGGAAACATTCTGGTGTTGCTTACAGAAGCTCCCTCTCCATTAACCCTTATTACATTCTTGGCAGGACTAGACTTCCTGTCTCAGGAACTTCTCTGGAGTTTTTTCCCCCTCCTTTGCTGGTACTTTGCTTGTGTGGAGTGACCATTCAAAGTTACAATGGCACTGAAAAATGTGACTTATGACCATTTTTCACACTTACGACTGTTGCAACATCCTCACAGTCATGAGAGGCCAGGCAAGGAGATGCGTGCCTCGATGTGAGTGATATTGAGTTGGCCACACCCAGCCAATAACATGACCACCAAGCCATGCCCACCCAGTCACATGACCACCAAGCCACACCCACCACCTAAGCCACGCCCACAGAACCGGTTGTTTAAAAAATTGAATCCCACCCCTGAGCATATCCTATTGATCGCTGGCCTTGTTTCTATTGGGCACACCAACTGGTAAGAGAATCTCTTTGGATTTACAAAATTCAATGCTGATTCCTCAGAAGGACAGAAGCATCTCCAAGAGCAAATTTCTCCAAACTTGGCAACTTTAAGACTTGTGGACTTCAACTTCCAGAATTCTCCAGTCAGCATTGAAGTCCAGAGTTGAAGAGTTGAACTCCATAAGTCTTAAAGTTGCCAAGTTTGGGGACTCCTATCCAAGAGGATATTTTGAAAATCAACTGTTTTGGTGCCTCAAATCCATCTTAAGTGCGTGAATTCACATAAAGATATTTTAGGATGTTCTTCTTCCATCTTCTTTTCTCTACCTTCAAGAAGCTACTTAACACCGTCAGCCTGAACTCTAACAACCTCTACCCTCTGTTTATATCAGGGGTCTTCAAACTGAACAGCTTTAAGACTTGTGGACTTCAACTCCCAGAATTCCTCTTCCAGTCATGTTAGCTCAGGAATTCTAGGAGTTGAAGTCCACAGGTCTTAAACTTGCCGAGTTTGAAGACCCTTGGTTTATATCATTTATACTGATGTGTACTTATCTGTAAGCAGGGGTGGGATCCGACAGGGTTAACTACTGGTTTGGTGATTTACGATGGCTTCCCTGCATGCTGCGTGCACATGTAAATCTATGTCAGCTTGCTGCCTGGACAGCTGAGCGTGCAGGGAAGCAGCATTTGAAAAAGCCCCTTTTTCCTGCTTTTTCAACCTCAGCTGTGCCCCGCACTGCAGCTGAGGTTGAAAAAGCAGGAAATAAAGGTCAGATAAGAGCCTGGATGGGCAGGTGGGCCAAGACAGGAGCAGACATAGAACCGGTTCTATGTCTGCTGCTCTTCAGAGCTACTGGTTCTACAGAGCCGGACAGAACCAGTAGAATCCCACCCCTGCCTGTAAGGAATTCATGCTGATCCTGCAAGCTATTCTGTGAATAATTTCACCAGAATCTCCCAAATACAGGTAGTCCTCGAATGACAATCATAATTGAGCCAAAAAAAAGATCTGTTGCTAAGAGTGACATTTGTGAAGGGAATTTTGCCCCATTTTACGGTCTTTCTTGACACAGCTGTTAAATGAATCACTGCAGTTGTTAAATTAGTGACGTGATTGTTAAGTGAATCTGGCCTTCCCCATTGACATTGCTTGTCAAAAGGTCACAAAAGGGGATTGCATGATCCCAGGACAGTGCTGGGACCTATTTATCTACTTGCATTCACATACTTTCGAACTGCTAGGTTGGCAGGAGCTGAGGCAAAGAACAGGAACTCATCCCATCGTCTGGCACTCGGGTCTCGAACTTGGACTGCCGGGTTCCTAGCCAATGAGCCCAGCAGCTTAACCATTGAGACATCACTCCGCTTCACCCCGTACAAGCTCAATACTCCTTTGAAAATTCGTTTGCAAGAAAAAAATTACATGAGGTAGTACAGTGGTGGGATTCAAATTTTTTTACTACCAGTTCTGTGGGTGTGGCTTTGGTGGGTGTGGTGTGGCATGGCTTGGTGGGCATGGCAGGGGAAGGATACAGTAAAATCTCCATTCCTTCCCCACTCCAGGGGGAAGGTTACTGCAAATTCCCACTCCCTCCCCACCCCACTAACCTGCTTTCCAGCTCCGTTCTCCTGTGCAGGGCAACCAAAGAAGACCCAGCCGATCAGCTGGGACTCAAGAGGCAGAGAATAGATGGGGTTGGTGGAGCCAGTCAGAGGTGGTATTTGCCGGTTCTCTGAACTACCCAAAATTTCCGCTACTGGTTCTCCAGAACTGGTCAGAACCTGCTGAATATCACCTCTGAGGTAGTAAGTCTTTTGTGATTCCTTAGGAGCAAAGAAAAAAATATATATAGCAGACCATTCATTGACTGGAATTCATCTAATTCCCTGGGGAAGTGGAGTTTCTGTGAGCCATTTTTGTTATCAGGGAAATAATTTCAGGAAAATAATGACATGAAACTCTAGACACAGTATATATCTCAATGTTTCAGCCGCATGGCTTGTTTATAAAAGTGTCCTTGGAAGAAATATGGACGCCTTTGATGTTCTGGTGGAACAATGCTTTGTTTCTGACTCCTTGGCTGCTTGAAGGCCACAACAGGCCCCATTAAATTAATCCACGGTTCCTCTTTTTCTATCTATAGAAAGGTTTAGAGATGAAAAGCAACCGTCACAAAGAGTTGCCATGACGGGGAAGGCACTGCTTAAAAGGAAGCCTTAACTCAAGTATCTGGAACAATCTGGGGAGGGTGTGTCTCTATTGCAAAGATTCTGTGACATGGACCGGAAGAAAGCTGTTTTTATGAATGCTTTACAGTATAGGGCACAAACATGTGGCATATGCTAGAAATAGTTCTCCACTGACGTCAGAGCAGGTTGATCAATCTTCTCTAAATGACATATGTATGTGGTTAGTCAAGGTCCTTTGTCTTCTCCCCCCCCCCCCATTTGTTTAAAATTATTTAAACACCTCTATGAGTGAACAATGTGATTCCAGGTTTTAACATACATATACACAATCATAATTACATTTTAAGCTTTCTTATCCAGTTTCATATCATATCATTACCTATTCCATTTTTAAAATATGTTTTATCATAGTATAGAATAGAATAGAATAGAATAGAATAGAATCCTTTATTGGCCAAGTGTGACCAGACACGCAAGGAATTTGTCTTGGTGCAAATACTCTCAGTGTACATAAAAGAAAAGATACCGTGTTTCTCATGTAATAAGGCCGGGTCTTATTTTTTTTTGAGCCCTGAAAAAATGGCTAGGTCGTCTTTTCGGGGGTGACTTAATTTCCACCCCTTGCATCTTCGGGCGGGCGGCGACAGCTTGGATGTTGACCTCGGCGTTGATGGGGCACTTCGTATCGGGGTCAACGCAGGCAGCACCATATCCGGGTATGCAACAAAAGTACTTCCTAACGGCAAGCCCCCCCACCATTCCCCCCATTTCGCATGTTTTAATATAGGCCTTAATTTGGGGGGAGGGGCTTAATTTCATTTCATGCCTATAAAACATGCTGGGACTTCCTATTGGGGGAGGCCGTATTGTTGGAGAAACAGGGTACATTCATCAAGAGTCCAGAATCATCAGGTACAACACTTAATAATAGTCATAGGTTACAATAAGCAATCAAATCACACTAGGAAACAGTTAATAAACATTGTAAGGATACAAGTGACAAAATTACAGTTATACAGTCATGAGTGGGAGGAGATGGGTGATAAGGAGTGATGAGAAGATTAATAGTAATAGTAATGGCAGACTTTGTAAATAGTTGAACAGTGTTGGGGGAAT